CGCTCGGTATCTCGGCCGAGGTTGCGGTGAGAAGGTTTTTGATTCGACTTCTTTTGGCCATTTCTTGCTCGTCTGTTAACCGGATTAAGGGGACGTCAGGAAGGGAAGGGTCTGGAGGTGGCGAAGGAGCGCGGAGGAAGTCAGTTACTCTATTCCGGTGCGGAGCAGAATACCTGTAGGTCGGGGTGTAGCCGAGTAAATCGTTGCAATCTCGGTGGGAATACCGAAGCACGGTCCGAATTCCTTCGACGTTGGGAAATTGATAGTTGGCTTGCAAGGCTTGGATTGCTGCAAAAGAAACAGGAAAACCGGTTAGTTACAGAGTAAAGAGTTAGGCTAACCGAGCAAGTTTGAGCGGCTTACATGAAGAACCGAAGTCCTTGTTTATAAACCAGCCCGGCACCTCAGTTGTTTCGTAATTGCCCGACACCCAGAAAAAATCGTCGTCGTGCAGATCTTTATCCGGGGTGCCAGTTACAATTTTTTCCTTGCCCGGTCTTATCTTCAAGTAATAAGCTAGGCCATCGCCGGTGTGGCCCATTGTGTATTGCCTCAATATCTCGGCTAGACCTAAGTTGGTGCCTAGCCGATTGTTCAATTCATGAACGCCGTTGATAATTCTATAAGTATTGGTGGACACTTGTGTGGGTGCCAGCCCGGTGCGGCGGAGGAACTCGGTGATAAGTGGGTTGAGCGGGAAACGGAGGCCCCCTTCGACAATTGCGAGCACGGTGAAGGGGCATTGGTCTAGTCTGCCCCAGGGTGTTGTCTCCTCTTCAGCCAGTTCGAGATGGACGTCGGCCGGGATGCCATACTCCTCTCTGAAAGCAGCTAGCGCGGCCGGAGTATCCACTAGGAAGCAGAATTTCCCCATTTGTGGCCGGCTTAGTATATCCCGGCTGAGGGGTTTGGCACTGTGGTAATTGGTTGCTGCTCGGTCTTGAGAGCCTCAGGAATGACAGTGGTCCCCTTGGACTCTGTAGGAAAATGATGGCAAGTGTAAGTGTGAGCGCGGTCGCGCAAAAGGAGCTGAACTTTAGCTCGGTCATTAAAAGTGCCAAACCACCTCGGTTGTCTATTCTAACTAAGGAGCCCGGTCGCCCAAGCAGACCAGATGTTAGGCCGGTTGAGCGAACAAGTCCTTTTGTTATCTCGGTTTTTGCTGGGGTTGAGACAAACATGTTATTTGCCCGGTTAGATTGGCTTTTTGGATCAGAAGAAGACCAGGAGCCCGGTTCGCCCCAGTTCTTCAGTGTTCTTCAGGAAGATAAAGAACACCAAGAACAGTGGGAGGTTTGGGACGGTTTCTATGGCCTATGCCCTAAGAGCTACATTTTTGTGCCCTAATGTGTGTAATATGAAAGAAAATAGCAACAAAATAGGGGTAGAAGGACTCACCAGTGAAGGGCAGGATCTATTCCCTCGAACACGAAGAATGGCAGACGAGGCCAAGGCAAGGATGCTAGAGCTCTGGAGTCGTATAACAGAATGCCAAGCACGAGGAATGGCAGTCGAGTCTGAGGAAATAGCTTGAGCTCTAAATCGTCAGGTAGAAAAGAAGCAGTAGGAAGAAATGGTATAAGGGGGGTCTTGTATATGTAAGCACGAGAGGCCGCCCAAATTCAAATTCTGGCAAAAACGGCGGGTTGGCTGCTCGATGACCAATGGCAGCCCGCCACGTGTCCCCATTTATGGCGACGTCAGGACTGAAGCGACGGGTTGAAGAGTCGAAGAGCCAACCGAGCTACTTTCGAAGAAAAGGATGTCAGCCGAGGAGTATAACCGGGCAAGTTTGCAGACGGTTATGTTAACTAGCCCGGTCGAGCTTTGGCATCTTGAAGACCGGAGAAACGTTATCTCGGTCGAAGTGAGTAATCCCAGTCACGCTTTCGCGGACGGAATTAAGGGGCAATTGAGAGGGTGATTTATGATCTGGAATTGGGCCGAGGCAACGGCCGAGCAATTGAGAGCCCAACCGTGCATGGGGCCGAGATGATCGAGTATCCGCCTGGAGATGGGCTGCCAGAACTTGGCCCGGGTAGGAATTGGGCCAAGTGTGTGCCGCCCCGGACCGTAAAGAAGCTCGGCAAGGCAGTGCTCGGTTGGACCGAGCTGCTTGATCAGGAGATGGCTGAAGCCAGACAAGCTGAGCGACCGGCGCCCGGAAAGGCGTGGTCAACCGAGGAAACCGTTTGATCGGCAGGAAGGCCGACCACAGGAAGTGCCCGGGCTGGGCTTTGCCGAGATGCCGCCTAGCCCGGTCCTCCCTGGGCCTAGCCAGTGAAGCGCTTGGGTATGAAGCACAGCACGGCCGTGAATAGAGCAGCTCGGCTGCCGAGCTCCAGCTGAGAAGGCAGGCAGTTGTGATTAGGTGATGATCAGCAAGGTTTATGCTGACAGATGGGATAGTAGTGCCACGTGTTGAGAGGACACTGGGAGTAGATATGGGGCGCAGAGGGTATATAAGTATGTATGCGCCCCCCATACGCGACAGATGAACACTTTGTAAGGAATTTCTTACATTCAAACACCTCTCTCTCTCTCTCTATCTTAGGGTGTGTGCTAACTTGATCGTCGGAGGGTTTTTCCGGCCACACACCGCCGGGTAGCTCACCATTGTTTGCGCGCAGGTGATCGGACATAAACGGAGCTCGGAAGAAAGGAGTACGGGCTTGCCGGAATATTTGCTCCCTGTACAATACTGTAGTTGAAAACCTTGGATCAAATCACATTTGGAATGGTACTAAAGCAAATTGAATGGTGATTTTGGATAGAGATCTAAAAATAGAAGGAAAAAATTTGAGAAAAATATAAATAAAATATATATTTTTTTTCTATTTTCTGCCTCTCTACACTTTTCTTTTCTCTTTCCAAATCGGTATCCAAATCAATTTACCAAACACAGTATTGAGATTTTGTGAATAATATTATAGTACCAGTTGAAAAATGTAGACAATTTATGCCAAGCTAAAAGAAGCATCATGAGAGAGATGCCGAAGTGAGAGAGAAGAGTAACAAAAGTGTGGCCCACAGCTTCGAAAAGCAACCAAATCACCACTTCCCCTCCTACCAACATTGCTGATAACTTCTTGGGCAAATTACATATACCCCCCTCGAGGTTTGGCTAAATTACAGATACCCCCTTGAGGTTTCAGAAATTACATCCCGTCCCCTGAGGTTTGTATTTTCATAACAATTTGCCCCCTGAGGTTTATATTTCATAACAAATTACCCCCTAATTTCTTATGCAAATATAGCATTCAGGGAGAAATTCGTAATTTCCGAAACCTCAGGAGAGTATCTGTAATTTAACCAAACCACGAGAGGGGTATATGTAATTTGCCCTAACTTGTTCTTCCTCCATAACACTATGTCTGCAACTGCATATGCATTACCATATAAAAAAAATGCCATATGCACTACTACCTCTCACTATTGTTTTTATTGTGTGGTTTGTTTTCTGAGATTGCTAATGGAAAATCTACTCTCTCTTTTTTATGGGTTAATATAACTAGCATTCACTTGCATCATTAATCAAAATATATTGATACAAAATAGCTTGTCATTTTTAATTTTTATTTTTTGAATTTTTTTGGTGGTTGTAAAATACACTAATTTGAAGAAAATACACAAAAGAAACTTAATTTTTTAATTAAATAATTAGTTCTTTTACTTACACGCAAACCAGTTATAGAATCGGATATAATCTTCTCACACAAGTGTGAATTTGAACCCCCTCCCCAAAAAAAAATTAAGACTTACATTACGTGATAGAGTTATATCCGATTTTGTGATATGTTTATATATTTCTAAACTTTTGCATAAATAATACTCAGTCCCAAGCCTTTAGGGATGGAATTGACGACCTCATTAATTTTAAAATTGAAATCCCTATTCTATACCTAATTAGCTTCCTTTTTCTTTTTCTTTTTTAATGTTTAGCTAGTGTTAAATTCATAATAATAATAATTTTTTTATAAAAAATCATAATTATATCAGCAAAAATAATAGATTCTTTAAAGTTTTGTAAATTACCTTGGCCCCCTCCTAGGATTGCATCCAAAGGTGTTGTAGGTGAAGAAGGCGTGGTTGAAGAAAGGGTCTGGCTTTGGCATGGTTTATAGGCATACCCTTTAATTAATTCTAGATATTAATATAATTAATTCATATTTTACCATGCATAAATTTTCATTAATCCCTCTTCATTGATTAGGCATATATATATATATATATATATATACACACATATATATTTGTGATTAGATTTTGTTTTTCTTACATTATTACAAATCTTCATCATTAAGATTATAATGAATTTCTAAAATATGTCTGTTACTAGAACATTAATCAAGATAAATAAATAAAAAGCTATAAAAAAATATTTTGCATGCTTTCTAATTCCATTCTATGCACATAGGGCAAAGAAATTTAAAAGGACTGTAAAACCTATAAATATTTATAATAGGGAGATATTATTTCAAAAACAATGGATAATAACATGACAATTTAATTAATAAATAAACAAATAAAAACTAACTGAGTTTGAAGAAAAGTATGCAATAATGTATTTTTGTGAGAACAAAGAACCAAAAAATAAAATTTTATGAAATCCTGTAATTATTTAATAATCCATGTAAAAGTAATAATAAATAAGAAGATTCCGTGTATGCTGTATGGATTCTGTGGTCAATGTTGTGAATGTGGATTTTTTAAATTGCTTTCAATGATTTTTGAATTATGCTAGTTCAAATATAAGGTGATTTGCTCTAGTCATTCCAGTGACTCATAAGATCATATTTTGTTTTTGGATTTTGAAATTATGTAGAGGTTTGTAGAGGAAAAAAGTTCGAAAAAAAAAAAAAAGAACAAAAGAACAAAAAAAAAAGAAAGCCATTTCCCCCTTCTCTTTTCATTTTCCATCACAGATCCCTCCTCAAATCTCCGATTAGTTTTGCAGGTTTTGAGTTTGGGAAGTCCGTAAACTGTATCATCATGTAAAGTTGATGGAAAATCTGGGTTTAAACATTCACAATATGGAGTTCACTGCAAGCATCAGACAATCGGGTTCTCCTATAGACAAACATAATAACACAAATTGCTTTCCCACATGCTATATGACATTATGTATACAATAACACAAGTACAAAGCTCAATGGTTCGATCGTTTTTCTCACATTTCTCAATAAAAGTCACCAAAACTGAGTCGACTAACCTGATTGATCCACCTTTAGACCTTCTCAAATTCACTAGTTCTTTGTTGATGACGATCATCTGCAATATTAGAGCTAGTCATACCAAGTCCCTCATTCTGGTGCTTCTCCCATCCACCAGTATCAGCCTTGGAATGGGCCCAATAATAAAGGATGGAGCCCAACATTGACAATAATGTAAGAGCTGCACCGGCAGCAAACACGCCTTTGCGCAGAGTGGCACATGACAAGTCCTGCCCGCGAAAGATCCCACGGTATTTGGTGTGGTACGCATTCCTTGCTGATCCTGCCAATAAGCATGCCTCTGCTCCCAAAAAGCTAACCCTGTTTATTTATTTTTATGACGTTAGCTTAAGCTGTGAACAAAAATGAGAAACACATCAAACAAGATTTTCAGCAGTGTTCGCTATGAACAGCCAGTATAAGATCATTCCATAGATATTGGAAAACCCTAGGCTGTGTTTGGATAGATTTTCAAACTATAATTCTACCCCTACATTCCAATGCCATGTTTGGATACATCTTTTAAATTATATTTCCACAATAAAAAGAAAAATATGCAGAAAAATTCTATATCGGGTGGAATTTTTTTTTTTTTTTGAAATTTGGCTTAACCGGTTATCTGGCCAGTTGATCGGCCGGTCAACCATAATAGGGCAATTTTTTTATTTTTTTATTTTTTTTTTTAATTGGCACTTGTTTTTTTTCATAAATTCTTAGTAAAACAATATTTTCAAAATTTTTAAAGATTTTTTTATGAGCTTTTAATATATTTTTGAATTGTATGTTTGGTTATGAGTTGTAAGTTTTTGTATCAGATATCATATGTCGCATCAAAAATTTTCTACTCAATTCAAAACTCTTTTCAAGCTCATAACCAAACAAATTTTATACGCTCAAATCATAATTCCAAAACACACAAACTCAAAATACAACTCTATTCTCAAATCATATTTTCAAAACTCTTCCAAACACGACCCTAGATTTTTCATTGAAATCAGCTTTAAATCCCGACATAAACCCACAAATACCAGCTTTAAAACCCTTTAAAGCACTATCCTGCATCAGTTTGGTACGAGAGCTTAAGGTCCATCCATGATGTTTTCACATCATATGAGATCCTATACAAGTGGATCGACTTGACAAGAGGGCAATGTGCTTCTTAAAGAAGAAAATCATCTAAGAAATTTTGAATATGATTTTCTTGAACAAGATTGCATATTATTGAGCAAGGTGATATGCATGTGATTGATTATGCCAAAAAATACAAGGATTTATTAAGTAAGTCAAGCATTAAAAAGTGAACGGATGGCTATTCTTCAATTCAAAAGAAAAAAAGATGTCCCATGTTGGAAAATGGCAGCAACCAATTAAAGTCTATAAAAGGCGTGGATCCAACGGTTCTAAGGCCCAAGCCTTAATCTGGCATATGCTAGATGATGTGGGGCCTACTTGGGAGATTAACTAGACTTAGGATTTATTTAAAAGTGTCTTTTGAGTTTCTCAAGTCAAATGTCTTTAAATTTCTAGTCAAGGTATTTGGGTTATTTAGTTGGTCAAAGAGTCTTCTTGTGTCTTTCACATGATTAATGCATTGAAGAGTCCTAGGGAGTCTTAAGTTAGTCATGTCATTTAATTTGGAAAGTTTTAAAATCAAGATGAAGTTAGTATAAATTATATTGTAAGTCTTCTGGCAAATTATGGATTGAATGAATGAAAATTAAGCTTATGCTTCTATGATTGTGCGATGCAATCTTTCTTTAGTGTAATGCTAAAGAGCCCCTTGGTGTGATGCCTTGGGTTTTCTAGGTGTGATATCTAGATCTATCCTTCTTTAACCGTTCCTCTACTTCCTACAAATCACTGTTCACGTCTACTGTTCATATCTGTTGTCCACAGCCCCAAAAACAGCCCTGTTATTTGTGTTTTGCTCATACTTGGGCCTATTTCAAATCTGTCCTGCATCAACTTGGTATCAAAGCGAGAGTAGCATCATGTCTACACGATCCGAAAAGCCATTTGGGGGATGATTAACTAATTTCCAGCGTGATGAGATTCTGCGGAAGCTTGTGGAGCAGATAGATAATTTTAGTCTGCGCATCAGTACTTTGGAAGGCCAAACAACTCAACCTAACAGTGATGAACAAGGCAAAAACTCTGAGAATAACAATACTAATAAAAATGGCGAAAATCAAGGCGAGCGCACAAAAGAGCAGCGTGCAGATCCCCTACAAAGACAGCAATTTAGGGCTGGCCAAGATCAGGAAAGGCAGCAAAATTCCATGTCTAATTGGGCCCATGATTTATTGCAAAGGAACCAATATGAGACCTAGCTTCAACAGGAGATATCACTAAGAGGATTAAAATGGAGATTCCCGATTTTGAAGGTAAGGTCAATCCTACTTTGTTTCATGATTGGCTTGCTTCTATTGAAGAGTACTTTGACTGGTACGATATGGCTGACGATCTGCGAGTGAGATTTGCTACAATGAAGCTTGTTGGATTAGTAAAAATCTGGTGGATGTGTGTGGAAGGTGATATTCGAAGGTTGGGGCAGCCACCAATTGGTACTTGGCAGGAGATGAAAGCTAAGTTGAAGGAAAAGTACATGCCATCAAATTACCATGAGAAGTTATGTAAACAACTGATTGAATTAAAGCAAAACCTCATGACAGTGGCTGAATATATGCAGAAATTTGATGAGCTAAAGACGAGGAGTCAAATTATGGAAGATTCAAGTCAACCTCTTGCTCGGTTTAAGGCTGGTTTGAGGCCCGACATAAGAAGGGAGTTGCTTCACCAACCCTTGTACAGTCTCGAACATGCCTTCCAAGTTTTTTTGGATATGGAGGAGTACTTGAACTACCCAATTTCTAAAAAGTGCGTCTCAAGTTGGGGAAACCACAACTGAGGGGTACAATGATGCAAATCGTTTCCGGCCCAATGTTTCAAAGCAAACTTCTGTCAATACAGCAGATCCAAAAGGCAAGAATTATGCAGCTAACAAAGGAAACAGGAAGGAAACCAAGTGCTTTAAGTGTGGTGAATCTAGTCACATGGCATTTCAATGTCCAAAGAGGAGTTTACACGTGGCAGTGGAGCAAGAAGCTGAATTCGATCAACAAAACAATGATGATAATGATGATTCCTTTGACGTTGGCATACTAAATACAAATGACTCAGAAGATGAAGAGGTGGACAATTCTCTGATTTCTGTTGTCAGGCGTATCCTTGCAGCACCAAAAACTAAAAAGGAAGACTGGAGGCGTACTTCTATTTTTCAAATGCCGGTTCGCTATGGAAACCAAGCTAGGAAGCTTATCATCGATGATGGTAGTTCCATGAATGTTGTATCTGCAACCACGGTGGAGTGTCTTAAGCTTCCTGTTCAACCACATCCTCATCCATATAAGGTAGCTTGGATCGATAACACGTCCATTCCGGTAACTCAGCGTTGCCTAGTCTCTTTTTCTAATGGTTCTTATAATGATTCTATCTGGTGTGATGTAATTCCCATGAATGTCACACATATCCTTCTTGGAAGACCATGGCTTTATGATAGAGATGTACAGCATTCTGGAAAAGAGAACACATGCTTTCTCATTCAAGAACAAGGAGATTGTTTTGAAGCCAATGACTATAGCTGAAATGGGAAAATTCAAGGAAAAGAAGCCAAAGGATGTCACTGAAAATAAGCCTATATCTCTCCACATTCTCACCAAGAAGTGTTTTCAAGTAGAGAGTATGGAACTGGGAGTTATATATGCCGTGCTGGTGAAAGAAGTGTCAGATTTAGCTGTTGAATCTGTCTCTGTATTGCCGACAGAAGTAGCCAAGTTGCTGTCCCATTTTTCTGATGTTGCCCCCAAAGAACTCCCAGATGAATTACCTCCCATGCGCAATGTCCAGCACGCAATAGATCTCATTCCTGGATCACAATTGCCTAATCTTCCAGCCTATCGCATGAATCCAAGGGAGCACGCAGAGCTTAAAAGGCAGGTAGATGAGCTACTATCTAAGGGTTTCATTTGTGAAAGTTTAAGTCCCTGTGCTATTCCAACTTTGCTTACACCCAAGAAGGATGGTAGTTGGCGCATGTGCATAAATAGTCATGCTATAAACAAGATTACAATCAAATATCGATTCCTTATCCCGAGGCTTGATGATATGTTGGACATGTTGGCTTGGTCTTGTCTATTCTCAAAGATTGATCTGAAAAGTGGCTACCATCAATTACGCATAAGGCCAGGAGATGAATGGAAGACAGCTTTCAAGACCAAGGATGGCCTCTACGAGTGGCTCATGCCATTTGGTCTAACAAATACCCCAAGTACATTCATGCGCTTTATGACGCAGGTATTATAGCCTTTCATTGGTCACTTCTTGGTTGTTTATTTTGACAGTATTCTAATCTATAGCAAGACCAAGGAGGAACTTATCTTTCATCTTCAACAAGTTTTGAGGGTCCTCCGTCAAGAGAAGCTCCACATTAACTTAAAGAAGTGTTTTTTCATGAGTCCAATGGTTGTATTTTTGGGTTTCATTGTGTCGACTAAAGGAGTGGAAGCCGATCCAAGTAAAGTGAAAGCTATCCTAGAGTGGCCAATTCCAACCTCCTTGCATGAAGTTCGCAGCTTTCATGGGCTGGCGACTTTTTAGCGTCAGGAATTTCAACACGGTAATGGCACCTATCACTAACTGTATGAAAAGGGGCTAGTTTGTTTGGACAAAGGCAGTAGCAAAAGCTTTTGAAGACATAAAGAAGATGATGTCTAAGGCTCCTATTCTACACCTTCCTGACTTCTCAAAGGTATTTGAGTTGGCGTGTGATGCTTCAAATGTTGGGATTGGGGGTGTGCTGAGTCAAGATGGGCACCCGGTTGCCTATTTCAGTGAAAAACTCAATGAAACCAAGCAAAAGCATTCCACCTCTAACAAGGAATTTTATGCAGTGATTCAAGCTCTTCGCCATTGGCGACACTATCTTCTTTATAAGGAGTTTGTGTTGTTTTCCGACCACGAAGCACTCAAGTACATCAATTGTCAAAAGAAGCTGAATCATCAACATGGTAAATGGGTTTCATTTCTGCAGGAGTATTCTTTTGTTATCAAACATAAAGCTGGCTCTGAGAACAAAGTTGCTGATGCCCTTAGCTGAGTGGTGTACGTTCTCTCTTCCATGGCTATACAAGTGGTGAGTTTTGACTTGCTCAAGAGAGATTATCCTCCTTGTAAGGATTTTAGCTCCATACATGCTCAGTTGCTAGCTGGACAACAGGGAGGACATGGTGAGTTTTCTTTGCATGACAGTTTCCTCTTCAAGG